ATATATATATATATATATATATATATATATATATATATATATATATATATATATATATATATATATAGAGCTATATGTAATCAAACAGTTATACTTTTTTTTGCGCCACCCGGTATATATAATATTCAATATTGAATTTGTGCGTAGTGAACTAGAGTGCTCAACACCAATAAATCAGTAGAACAAATACAAAGACGAAAACAACAAATTTCAATCTTAAAATTTTAAAATTTTATTTCATCGCGATGAAATAAAATTTTAAGATTGAAATCTAAAAGAGCTATTACGCGTGAGCTAAGTGTATTGCATTCAGTATTGTCTAGCTTAAATTATGATATCCGCCCTGTGCATTTTCGTGCAATATTGACCGAGAGAGCTGCGTTTAAACTTGAGTAACCATTTTTGAAAGTGTCGAGAATTAGCCAAAAACGGCCTGTTGAACTAGTTTGGTAACCATTACCATTTTGATGCTTGTGATGTTACTCCGAGTGTATATCCACACCGGGCAGGCTTGAAACATTTGCCTGGCCACGGTGGGAATCGAACCTACGACCTTTGGAATACTAGCCCAATGCTTTGCCAGCTGAGCTACGCGGTCAGGTTAGCCTGCTCGCAGGCCGTTGTAGTGATATTTTGGAACCGAGTCTAGTTCCTTCGATATCAATGTAATCTAATAATCATGAATTTTTCTGTGTTGGTGTAGTGTACTATGCAGGTGAATACGATGCTTGTGATATTCACTGAGTACACTACACCAACACAGAATATTACCATTTCATTACCATTTTATCGTAAATATTCATTTCAATGAAGTTTGTTTTAAGGTCTTTGGGATGCATGTTTTAAGGTCTTTGGGTGCATGGTCTTTGCGATGCATATGCATGGAGTTATGAAGCGATTTTGATTAAAAGATTTATTCTAAATTTTCAATGACCCTGGGGAAACAAATTCAAATGTTCCAAGAAAGAAACGTCGCGTGTTTTTTTTTATAAATACGCCTCGTTTAACGAAGGACCAAAGAGTTTCGTATGTTTAGAATATGTAAGGGGTAAATAATGCTCGTGAGGTTATACCGGCGGCGTTGGGCAGATATATGCCCTGTGCATTTTCGTGCAATATTGACCGAGAGAGCTGCATGCGTTTATACATGTTTGTGTTTATACACGTTTATACATGAATGTGTTTAGCGAGTCTAATGAAATGAACTACTCGATAACGTGCAGCAGTTTATCTTTTTGCCAAGGAGGGGAGGTGTCAGTAGAAATAACACACGAATGTGAGGGGCAGTGAGAATTAATTATAAGGGGGGGGGGGGGGGGAGAGGAGGCAGGTAAAAATTCATAAATGAGAGCCCACAAATACTTAACCCAAAAATCTTGGCCCTCCCTTGAGATTCCAATTTCTTGATATTTTTCATGATGGATACCAATTTTCATGACAGATACAAATCCAACACAAATTTGGTCGACAGTCCAAAATAAGCAAGTGATGAAAGGATCGAGAGTCGACAAAAATTAAAGGAATAGTTACGTTCAGGGCCGCCGAGAGGGATTGTCCTGGGCCCGCACCTTAATAGGGCCCCAACTTGAGAGCGAGAGCCTAAAATTGTAGGTTCTTTAAATTGGTCAGAACATTTTTGAAATTGAGGGCCCCTTACAGTACCTCCATATGCAGTCTAGCTTAAAAATGATGATGTTATGGGTCCCACATGGAAGATTTGCCCCGGGCCCCGCGAATTCTATCGGCGGCCCTGGTTACGTTTTGCATATAAACACCGACTACAGATGTCAATCTCGTAGAATGCTACAGATAGCTGAGTGCATACAGGTGTATATTCTTAAGGAATGACAGTCAACTATTAGCCTCTTGCGCAGAGGTTAGTGGCCGAGGCCCCAACTACGTTTGCACAGGAGGCTAGTCAACTATATACCTACCGTCAAAGAATATAAATGTATTTGGCGATTAGAATTTTGACATTACTGCAGTGCGTAATTACAAATATTATTGTAATCTTTGCGAATTTTCTAGTGGTTGTGGGAGATCTCAGGGGAAGAGCAGTGGTGAATAAAATCAAGTTATAAAACTATATAAAACAGACTAAAGAATACAGATTTATTGTATGATATTTTTATTTCATAAACTGACAGTTACACATCATACAGATTCTAACACAGGAGGTTCAAATGAATCACGTTCAATTTTAGCCCCAGTTTCATCAGTGGTCACTGTCGTACTTCCACTTTCACCATGCATTTCCATCAACTTCCCAACTAAACAATGAAAGAAACAACATCTTATAAACTATGGTACAAAATTTGGATTTGGAAGAATTCTGACAAAGATTGAACGAATAGCATCAATCCGCATTAAAATGTTTGGGAATATTTATCCACATGTTCAGTTTCTTGTAGGCTGTATTGGATGAAAGATGTTCTAAAAAATATGGGAACGTTAGTTCCACTGGATGCCAAAATAATCTTGTGTGATAAACAGCTTAATAGAATACTGAGAGTCATAAAGTAGACTAATACTGATGAAAAACTATTCATAGAGTTGTTCACAGAGCGGGAGAAACGTATAATCACGAGAGTTACCATCAAACTTTGGTTTCTTCAAGACTTTTACTTTGCGTATAAAAACATCGTGAAGTGGATAAATTGACTGGCAAGCCTTCTCAATATCACGTCCAATGCTATCTGGTATTCTAAAGGTAAGAGATAGATGGTTACAAATACCAGCCTATTTCCTGCATTTCTGGCTTATGATGTCCAGGCCCATCTAAGGACAGTCGACAAATAGATTTCACGATGGTCTAACCCCCTCCCCCATTGCTGACCAGTCAAATGTCTTGTTTCAAAAAAACTAAATTTGCCTATTCAGCCATGTTGAAATATTGTTCTAATACAAAACAATGCGAATAAATATTCTCCATTGTTCAGCAGTTAAAAACAATATGGAACACATACCTGAGTAAATATATTCAGAAATGCAAACATATATGTACTCCCAAATTTTGTTTTGAACATGAACAGCGTGGAGCGACAATATTCAGCCACAATCACTAATTCAGCAGTTAACACTAGCCTTGTTATTCAGTTGTGTTGCATCAAAGCATTTCAAGGCACAATATTTTTTGCACAGATTGTTTGTAAGTGATATAGTGAATCTTTGTATTAAAATGTTACATCTGTTTTCATCTGATTATTTTGTAATCATAGATTCTGAGCTACAAACCTTTGTGGAACAAGTCAGCAAAGCGGGACAAAATCTATTTGTCGACTGTCTCTTATTGAGATTGTACAAATCATATTTCCACTGTACTTACAGCTTGTTAACCACTTCCTTCAAGTCATTGGTTCCAACTTCTTGGGTCATAATTTGAACCATTCTCTTTCTGATTGATTTGATTTGAGAATGTTTGGCATACGAGGTTTTCTTTATTTGATTTACTCTTCTCTTGGTAAAACCAATACAGAACAATCTCAAGAGATACCCATCTGTAGTTTTGACATCCACATTACCCTCGATCAGTGTCTAGAAGATCATAAGGAAAATAACAAAGAAAATATCTTAATATTGGGCACCCTACTAAAGCATATAAGTACATTGCAGATAAAGGCACATGCACTTATATCTGCTCAAATATAAGCTCATGGGTCATTAAACTAAACCGTCAAAATTTGCTAAAAAACTGCGCATATAAAACACTTTTCCCCGAAAATTTTCCAAATTTGCAGAAAATTTGTTTATAGGTGCTGTGCATAGACCACATAAAAAAAGTTGGTTAACATCCTCGCCCGCCCACAAAAAAGGTCCCGCTCAGGATTTTTTAAAAATTTTTATTTAAAAAAACCCCGACTTTTATTGATTAACAGGCTCTGATATATGTAGTATTTCTGTTGACTAGGCTGTTGCGGTATATCGATAATTATCGTTTTTTTATAAATATCGATATATCGGAATATCGATATTTTTCGGTATTATCGATATCATGTTTACGTTTGTATACTTAAACGTCATATCAAGCTTTTTCAAGCGCTGATTCGAGTTATTTCAGAAGGTCAAAGTCGATCAATGTGCTAACTCCGCGGGGAAATCCGTAAATTAAGGTTAGAGCGCGATCCAAAACGTATTTGTTTTTACGTTGGCGTTACAAGGTGTAATATGTCATTTCGCTTGTCAAAAAGTGAACTTTTAGGACGTAAAAACAACGGTGGATTATGAATGTTTTAGAAAAACAAAACTGACTAACCTGATTGGACATTGTTTATCTGGTGAGATAGGACAATCTTTGTTTCGATCTCGCAGTTGAATGAAATGTTTTGAAAAAATTTCCCGGTCAAAAATATCAAGTAAGTAATATGCATTTTCAATTCTTAAAGCGGACATTTCACAGGCTACTGATCACAGGCTACTACTGATCACTGGTCTCACACTTTAGTGAAAATATCACGCACCTGATGAGTCAAAGCTGTTATATCATGGCTGTTTGACATCATTTGAAAACAGAAAATTTTGCATAAAAGTAAGCAAATTTTGTATAAAATTAAGCAAAATACAATCGCGAAAAATATAGATATATCGGTATTTTTTTTCCAGTGTCGGTTTTAGTTTTTTTTTCAAATACCGCAACAGCCTACTGTTGACTATAGTCAATTGTGTTAAGAAATTGCGTGCGAAAATGACGGTATGAATCATATTTTGAAATATATAAAAAAATATCTGTACTGCGCAAGAAATTTCAGTTTCGGACCTAACGGGGGAGGGGGGGGGGATTGGTAATAGGGTAGATTTGATTTACATGGCGATATGAAGGCATTTATGCACTAAAACGTGTCTTCTATGAGATTTGATAGCATTGATCAATGAATGCAAGGTCAAATTAGCAGGTCATAATTCAAAAATTGCAAGATAATTATATGTGCACTTTGAAAATTCATATTTTTCATATATAAAAAATAAAAAAAAAACACCCAAAACTAAAAAAAACACAAAAAAACTCTTAAAGGGTATGAGCAACAAAAAATTTTATTGCTTCATCTGAAAGAGCATGAAAAAATAAGCCGATTGGCCGTTTAATGCTCTGTTCTATCTCATCTAGTTCTGAAGTTATATGCAAAAATGTGCAAAATATAAATTGCTGATTTAGCACAACGTGTGACATCATTAGCTTGGGTATGTTTAACAAATACTAAACTGAAGCATAGCTCAGTTATTATGGGCCCAAATCAAATGAAATTTTGGATACTGATTGTACATGAGACGTATTGAAAAACACTTTTAATTTTGTTGCCAAGGTAACAATGTCGTTCCCAGTCCCCTTGCGCCAATTTTATAAAACAGCTTTATTCATGGTACTTATAAGAATAAAATAATATCAGAAGTATGTGTCATACCTATGCATGCCAAAAGTTTACTTGCATGATAATAATTCGAAAATGACATACACACAGATAAATGCAACTAGTTATTCAAAATCAGTGTAAGGGGCCTGGGAACAACTGTGTTGCCTTGACAACAAAATTAGAAGTATTTTCCCATGTGTCTCATCATGTACTATCTGTATGCAAAATTTCATTTGATTTGAGCCAATAATAACTGAGCTATGCTTCAGTTTACTATTCAATAAACATACTTACCCAGTTCATGACGTCACACGTTGTGCTGAATCAGCAATTTATACAGTATTTTGCACATTTTTATGTATACTGTAACTTTGGAACCAGATGAGATAGAATAGAGCATTAAATGGCCAATCGGCTTATTTTTTCATGCTCTTTCAGATGAAGCAATAAAAATTTTTGTTGCTCATACCCTTTTTTTAAAAAACAAAAGAAAACTCTCCTGCAAAAAACTCTCCCCTCAAGGACTAAAATCATCTGACACTGGAACACAGATCTGTATTATTTAAAAAACTGGACAAGAAGTAAATCTGCAACACCCTATACTGAGGCCCCATTTTCTACAGATTTATATTACAAAATCATAGCTTCAGGGTTCGAATTAATAGGAAGAAAAAGTCGACTCCCAATTTTTTGTAGGAAAATTTTGAGATTCTTGCCTGCAAAATACCAAATAGACATCTTAAATGAAGTCCTGCCCTTCCGGAAAACTCGCTTCACAAGCTCCTTCTAAAGGAAACTTTTAAGTTTTAAGTTTCTGTTAAAACAGAACACTGTTTTAATAATAAACAAATGCCATTCTTGACCCTTGTAGCTACCGCAACTGGTAAGTCTTCGCGTGCACTCGAGGAACAAATTGTGTTAACGAATATAATTTGAATTTTTTTTTTCTTTTCTGTGCTGGTGTTGTGTACTCAGGTTTTGTGATGTTACTCTGAGTGCATATCCACACCGGACGAGCTTGAAAAATATGCCCGGTGTCCCAGGATTTTCGCCCCCCCTTCATTTTCGCCCCCCGGGGGGCGAAATTCCTAGGAATATCGCCCCCCCAGGAGGGCGAAAATCCTAGAAATTTCGCCCTTCCTAACAGTTGCATGGGATAATTATTACATGGCTTTAATCATTTGAAATCAGTATCAATTCAAAATTGTTAAGACAGAGATGAAATAACAACCGATCACCGATCAATGATCGGCAAGGAATTGCTTATGATCGGCGGAAAAGCAGGGTTTCGGTTTCCAACCTGAAAAAAGCAGGGAAAGTCGCGACTGCCGATCACCATGATCGGGAACTTTTGGAACGTTATTTCAAGCCCTGCATGTAAGAATACAAATTTACAATTACATGTATCGAAAGGGCTTTATACAGTTACAGTAGATGAATACTCAATAGGACTTATGACGCTTCACAGCACACCATGCATATTTTGCATTTTCAGTGTTAATCCTTAAACTCATTGTTAAAAAGTAATCACCGTGGTGGTTATTGTAATTATTGGTATTGTTTTGCATCCACGTTTTGTCGTTATCGGAAAATGTATGGGTTGTCACTATTTTTTACTTGCATTATTTCAATATAGTTTGTAAATCTCAGAAGCGAAGGGTAGAACTTGCCAATAGGCAATAATCCAATAATATACGTTTCAAAAAAGCAAAAAAGACAAGAAAGCTTTTAGTTTTGCAGAGTTACATTCTCAAATGTTTAAGGCATGCACTAATAAAATCAAAGTATCATGAAATGATTTGAATAAACCACACCACATATACAATGCAATTTTCTTTGCGGAAGTGAAGAATCAAGATTACATCACTGACACAGAAAGTTGACGATTCAACGGATAATAGTCAATACGCTTCCCAACACATTCCATGGATTTTTTACTAATCCTATAATTTATTGTTAGCAGGTGATTACTGTGGCGGCTATTGTTAACACTCGTATTGACAAAATTTGCAAGCGATTGTTTTTATAATATGTAATGTGAATTGTAAACTGCCAGAAGAATACGACAACATGATTTTATGCGATCTCTGTGATGGTTCTACTTTAGATGTGTAGAATATGACACTAGTCTAAGTATAACCTCAAATT